TGTAGGTAGGTCTATGGGGGTATTATCTTGATTAATGATTGATGTGAGAGGGTCCAGCCCATTGGAGGCAGGTGGTCCTGGGTGACATAAGAAATCATGGGGAGCAAGCCAGTAAGCAGCACTCCTCCATGGCTTCTGCATCAGTCCCTGCCTGTGGGTTCCTTCCCTGAGTTCCTGCCCTCATGTCCCTTCATGATGGAGTGTGAGCTATGAGCTGAAATAAACCCTTTCCTCCTCAAGTTGCTGTTGATCAGTGTTTTTTATCAACAACAGAACACAGACCGGGAGGAGCAGCAATCTGTGCATTAACAGTTTGACCGGGCTCAGACTGAGCTGTTAGGACCAGCTTTCCTGGAGGCCACAGAGGAGCTCTGTCCTTGACTTGACATGGCTGCCTATATTCTCTGCCTTGTGGCCTCTCCGTTTTCAAAGCACACCATTCCAAACTCGGCTTGTCGCCAGCTCTTCTCTAGTTAGACCTCCTACTAGGGACACTTGTGTTATGATTGTGTGTGTAGCCTACACAGATGGGTTTAAGAATAATCTACCCATCTGTGATGGTTAATATTGATTGTGAAGCTAGGGTGATGATGCACACTTGTCATTGGAACTCTTGAGAGCAAGAGCAGGAGGGTCAGCAGTTCAAGGCCAGCCATGGGTACTGGGATGGCTGTTCTTGGTTGTCAACTTGACTGTATCTGGAATGAACTGCAATAAAGGAATGTAGGGCACACTTGTGATCCGAATCTTGAGGCCTGAAGACAACATGCCTTTCATCTGGATCTTGAGGCGAGATGACATGTGCCCTTAATTCAGATCTTGAGGTGGGAAGACCCCTTTAATCTGGACCACACTCTCTGCTGGAAGCCCATATAAGGACAGTGGAAGAAGGAAGGGATGGTGAGCTCTTTGCCTGCTTGCCCTCCGCCTTATCAGCACATCTAATCCTTTCCTGGCATCGGAGCCTACTGCTTCAGGATTCCAGCATATGCAGAAGGCCAGCTGAGACACGCAGCCTCGTGCGACTGAGCAACTACTGAATCCTTGGACTCCATTCACAGCTAGCCAGTGTTGGACTGCTGCCTGTAAGTCATTCCAATAAATTCCTCCCCCCCACACACACACACAGAGATTCATTCTGTAAGTTCTGTAACTCTAGAGAAACCTGACTAATACTGTTATATAGTGAATCTGAGACCAGTCTGGGCTGTATGCGGCACTGTTCTAAACCCTACCCCCTACTCTTTCTCCTTCTCTTGACAGGACCTAGAATCACTTAGCAGACAAAGCTCTAAACATGTCAGTGAGAGCGTTTTTCTAGGCTGGGTAACTGAGGAAGGGAGGCCCACCCTGAATGTGGGTGGCACAATCTGTGGGCTGGAGTCCTGGACTGAATAAAAAGAAGTAGGCTGAGCAGAAATCTACATTCATCTCTGCTTCCTGGCTGAACTTGCCATGTGACCAGCTGCCTCACACTCTTGCTGATATAACTTCCCTGCTGTGATGGATTGTACTTCCACCTGTGAGCGGAAATAAATCCTTCCTTCCTTATGTGGCTTTTGTCACAGCAACAGGATAGTAAGTCATACGTCATTCAAGATCCTGAACACAGTGATGTCTGCCCAAGTCCCCTTTGTCATTAGAGGTAGCATCCCAGCCTCCAGGGATTAGGACCTGAGTGTCGTTGGGGGCATTATAGAGCCTTCCCCATGACCACTGCAAGTCATGGGGAAGTTTAGTTGGTTCAAGACATACTCAGGAGCCTATTTTTCTCTGCTTTGGTAATGACTATGCCACCAGAGATGACAAAATACACTCACTCCTCTTCAAAGTGCTCCGTGACCACCCTGGGAGTTGTTTTTTGTTGTTAGTGGACTCATTCTGCTAACCTTTGTCACTTGTCAAAAGCAGCAGGCAATAAAAAGTCCTGGCCACATTTATCTCTCCTTCACTAGGATGTAGGTTCATGCACAATACTGCCCCTGGGCCCGGAATAGCCTTTGGTCACACGCACAAAGCTGGTGAGGACGTAGGGTTGTTAGACTCGGCTCTGTTCCATCTATTCCCGGGAAGGAGGGGGGAGCACTCTTCAAGTCTTCAAAATCATTTCCCTCCTCGCCAGGTGGGATGGGCAGTCATTTGAGCCTGTGACAGGTATCCAAACTCTGGGAAGGTCTTTCTCACACAGCCTGTGCGGGGCTCCACTGGAGAAGGGCATTATGTCAATAAAAACAGTAAAACCATGGTGTCCTGCAGGCTGGGGCTTTGTTCAGCCTGGTCCCATGGAATACAGCCCTGCCTGGGATATTTCCTTGTGCCAGGGCAGTCTCCTGGGACTCTGCACAAGCCACACAGCTTTCTCTCTCAGAGGAGTGAAAGATGGCTTCAGAGAATTCCCGCCCCCAGGGGACAGAGGAGAAGGAAGAGAAAATTCTGCTTAAACTGTGAAAGTGGAAGGTGGCTCTTGCTGGGATCAGGATTAAATTGAGATGTTGCTCTGGATGTTATTTTTGGGTGACTATGTGAGCTAGCATTAATTTTTAATAGCAAGAAAAATGTGCATGTTCTAACCATCTCTAAATAGAGCTAGGAAGAATAACCCGAGACACTGGAAAGTAGCATTTTAAAATGTATTTTTGATGGATGTGTATAAGTTTGCAGTGTTCATCTAATATCTTCATATGGGTAGAAGTGAGCA